AGGTTGTCTTCTTCTTCTGGTTTTTTGGAGAGTATTTTCATACTTAATAATAATAAAATCATTAAAATAAAGCAAAGAAAAACATAAATAAACAAGAGATATTTTTTTTTTGCATAGTACAACTGAATAAATAAATAAATCTTTAAGCAATTTTACACACTTATTTCCTAAAAAAATCATATTCTGAGCAATTAAAAGAAGGGGGGGTATATAGTATTAACAATAATTTACAGGTCATATCTGTAGATGGTTCAAAACATCCGACACGTTTTGCTTTGTACTGATGGTGTGATGATTATTTGACCAAAGAATCAAAGTAGGAAAATTAAAATTAAAATGAAAGTAGGAAATGATGTCATAAGTAATCCACAGACATAAGAGAAATTATTTTGTTGTTTTTCTTCATACTGTTTGTAAACAATGTTTTTCATGTCCCAGTTTCACATCACAGGTGACAGGTTTCATTTCAGATATTGATTGAATTATTTTATGTTTTAAAGGTCCAGAGTGCAACATTAAGGACGATCTATCGTCAGAAAGTGAATATAATGATCATAGGTATGTTTTTATTAGTGTATAATAAGAATCGTTGTATTTTTGTTACCTTAGAATGAGCTGTTTTTATCTACAGAGGGAGCAGGTCCTCTACTACAGCGTCCACCATGTTGAACCATCATGTTTCTACAGTAGCCCAGACCAGACAAACCAAACACTGGCTGTAGATAAACAGACAGAAAATGTTACTTTCTTTGCACATTTTTGCACAAACACTGAATTGCATTACTAAGCAGCTAAAACCTCTCAAAAATCTTAATTAAATGTAATTTTAGTGTAAAATTCCCAAGATGTTTTACACACTTTTTCCACTTTGTGAAGAACAATCTGGGTAAAAGATTGAGTACTTTTAAGTAATGAAAATTGTCACTTAGGCCCACAAACAGACACACACAGTAAGCTATTTAACCCCAAGGTGCAGACATATCAGCCTACACGGGTCTCCAGGGCAGAGTGAAGGTGCAGGAAAGTGGATCATCGCTCTGTCTGAAGGGAACAGTAAAGTAAATTACTGTCCACTCAGAGATGACTGGAACCAGACGGGGGAGTGTTTCCTCTGTTATCTCATTAGGAGAATTAAATATATGTGATCCATTTGGTTGTTTTTTCCAGGAAAAACAGTGAGTGCTGGAGTTGAGAGTCAAAATACTGAGCTATAGGTAGATGTGTACATATATCCTGTGACAGAGACAGAAAAGAAGATGGAGATCAATACAAAAGTGCCCAAAGCCATCCTCTGTTGTTCCCTGACCCCGTATCATTTTACCCCAAAGGCTCTGCATTCACAAAGGCTTTACCTTCCCATAAAGGCACATGCTAAAGATACAACATAATCTCTAAATAATGGGCCGTTAACTGCAGTTACATTTGCTTTATGCATTTTCCCAGACAGCATGCACGTCTGCTGAAGTTTCACACAGGGATACAAACATTGTCGATTGTGTGTTTTCTCTGTTTTTTTTCCTCTTGTCTCTACATGCCCGGTAGTTTTCTGAGCCTCAGGTTTCACCTTACAGGTGAGGAATGATCTGTTTTTCTCCACTTGGTTGGGATTGTGAGTGCGTGTAACCCTTTGAGGAGTATTTATCCTTTAATTCTGTGACCGTCACTTCATGTTGTCAACAGAAAATACAGTTTATAGGTAAGTATTGCCTCTCAGCTATGTGTTAATGGGTTAACAGGCAGTAAGTCACAAAACGTTGCAACATTTCAAAGTGTGCAAAACATCCACTTCCTTCAGTTGGCAGGATTTTAACTATGATTTCCTGCCTCTAAGGGTCACTTCTTAATCTCAGAACTGGCCGTGAAATTAGGTCTCTCCTGAAATAACAGGATCAATAAATAGCTCAGCAGGGAGTTGCCGGCATTCTGTGGATTTTATTGATTTCACATTTCTTTTATTCACATAGTTTCATGACTAATGCACAAACACCCTCTCATTAGTTATTAACACTTTTCAGGCCAATGTAGTGTTTTTTATCACATAGATGCTATCAAGCAGCTCATGAGTCACTGTACTCATGTACTCATTATTTTCCACCACTGATCTTTAACCACACTGGGTCTTTATTTATTTTGGAGGAAAAAGAGAAATGAAGCAAGAGATACGAGATATGAGCTAAAAGGCAAGAACGTGCAGATAAGATGTTAAAAAGCTGCTTTAGGTAAAGTTTAAAATGCAGTTTTAGTCTTTCAGTCAGGTAAACAACATAATTCATTGGATCTGAACAGTGTGATGATTGTGTTGGTGGTGCAGGATGAGCTGACTGTATCAAACACTGTCAGTATGGATTCTCCTCTAACCCTATGACCTGCATTGCAGAGGCAGTTTTTTCGCTGTGTGGCGATAGTCGTAAGTTTAACAATGCTGTTGGTTAGTTCGACAGCGAGGTATCATTGCGGCCTATTTTGTCTAAATAATGTGTATTATATTGGATTATAATTATTATAATAATGTGCAAGCATCACTTTAATGTTGCAGATGGTAAAGGAGGAGCTAATTTGAATATGTTATACACTGCTTGGCACTTTCTATTAAAAGTAGAAACACTATAGTCTAAAAATACTCCATTACAAGTAAAAGTCCTGAATTCAAACTTAAATATTATCAGCAAAATGTACTCAACTTAAAGTCAACTGTGCAGAATGGCTCCTTTCACAGTGTCATATTATTACAGAATATTATATTTTTCTGTGTTTATCACTAATGAATCCATGAAAGAGCATTTCAATGTTGTAGTTCAATCATGTGGGGCAAATGTTAGATACTTCGTATACTACAGCGTAGATTTATAGTGTTGCATCTATCATATAAACATATCATGTGTTTTTTAATGTAAAATAAATGCAGGTAACGAGTTGCACACACACACACACACACAGTATGGTCCTGTTATTCTGTTTGGACGAGGGGGCTGTAAACTACAACACACACTACAAGATCAGTCAACAGTGTGTTTGAACACAGGTTGTCACATGACTGGTCCTTTCAGGTATAGAACAACAGGCTATAGAAAGGAGTGGCACTCTGGTTATACAGCCTATACCTCTCGAAGCAATTGGTCAATTGAATGACAGGCTCGGCTCCGGCTGACCTACAAAACAAGTAACTACAAGTTAACCCACAGGAACAGAAGCAGTAACTTGAAACATGTTCAAACTTTTACGCACAGAATCAATTAGGAGTTTGTGCTCGGACTTTATCAGTGGCAGAAATATTCACACTTTGAATAAACACTTAGTCTGCTGCACTCACATTGTCTCTTATCTCTTATTCCAAAAGTAGGAGTGTTCATGGTGATGAAGGAGCACATCAGGACATATAGCCAACGTCCAAATTAAATGTGTTTGCATGTATGAGAGAGAAATTAGTCTCTTTTGGGTCATTATGCTGCTTTTTTAAGATTTCTTAAACTGAGATTAACTGCATTGCTTGAGTAATGGCTGGGAGCTAAACTGCATAGCTGGCTTAACTTTGCATGTAAATGAGCTCAAAGCTGCAGTAGGTATCTAGAACATGAACACAATGTAAAACATTTTGCATCCCTCGCTTCTGCTTGGATTATTCAGTTAACACCCACAGCAGAGCAGAGGGAGTTGGCCTCCCCTCATAAATTACTCCCCCACTGGTTGTGATGTGATGTTAAAGCTTATATTTAATTGTATTTTAGGACTATTGGTATTTTTATTAGAGTTTAGCTCTGGTCTGTGTAAATGTTATCTCTAAATGTACAATTCAAATACCAGTTTAACACAGACAGTAAAGCAATCATACTTTAAATTCATAGGTTACACTTTAACTTTATCTGTAGGCTGATATGGGTCATAGTCATGCTAGGCAAAATAAATCATACACTGTATTCCGGTATTTATTTTCAAAATAAAACTCAACTATTCATACTAATGCTGAGCAGTTATTTTAATGAAGTGTCTCTTCAACAACTTATGGTGACAAACCAAAAAGGTTGCTTTAATCCATAAAAATGTTTTGTATTTTATAAGCTTATGCAATGTATTATCTTAATCTTAAAAGTAACTGGTAACTAAAGCTGTGAAATCAATTTAGTGGAGTAAAAAGTACAATATTGGTGTCACGTGTTGTCAAATTTAACCTATTAATTCGGATTAAATAAAAAAATAACGCATTAAAAAGCAGAGATTAACACTTTAATTTGATGATCTGTTATGGCCACATTTTACACTAAGTGATAGACTTAAGTTCAATGAAACAAGACATGTAGCCTATTTGGAAAAAAATAACAATTCTGCGATGGCGAAGGCATCACATAGTTGTCCAATATTCATGAGTGGATGGAATAAGGGATACTTGTAGTCGTCTCACCCTGTAGTCTGTGAGCCAGTGCTGATTCAGAGGAAGGGTCACTGAGAGGGAAGATCTTCTGGACCACAAGCAGAGAAGTTGAACGCAACAAGTTGATCTGCAATTAAGGAGACAAAGACTTCCTCATTCAACACAGGAGAAGACACAGCCTTAATACACCCACACCAACATTGATTACATGTCACTGAACAGACGTCCTGCTTCCCCCCTTCACCTTCTCCAGGATCATCCCGGGGATCACTGATATCAGACACACCCTGCTCATTAAAGTACCATTAACGCAACTAACATATTAATTAATTAATACCTCCACTATCTGTCTGTCAACATGATACAAAAATGACTACAACAAGGTTACTAACATCCTAAAAAAACATCTGGGCATAAATTAAGAGTACACCCACTTCTTCAGGCCCCACTAGAAGCATACAAAGGGGGGGAAAAAAGAAGTAAAATCTAATTATACTTGAATAAAGTACTTGAGTAAATATACTTGTTGCATTTCACCACTGACCAACAGAATTGAACGTCGCCATGCTTTTATTTTGAAGGTTCCGGTGCTCAGCCTCTCTAAGCTGCGCTCACTTGCTGTCTCACACTGTGCTGATATATATATTACAGCCTGTCTCACCAGGAAGACATCTCATTACGTTGACAGCAGGCTCCAAACAAACCTTCCGTCTTCCTCTGCGCGGTGGAAACATGTGTGAGGGCCTCCTGGACAAGCTCCATGTGTGGTTCAGCCGGGCGCTCCTCGGAGCCTTGTCCCTGCTCTTCCAGCTGTTCTCCCCTCGGAGACCGGCGGTGTCCGGGAAGAAGCTCCCGGCCGTCAGCAACCCGCTGCTGCTCCTGTCGGCGACGCAGCTCGCCAAGAAGATCCGGCGTAAAGAGGTGTGTACCCGAAGTGGCGACTGCTGCAGGACACACAGTTTGTTTACCTGCAGTAGTCTCTTCTTTAGGTTATTGTTTGTTTAGAATCACTAAAGTTACACAAGCCGTTGTTGTGATTAGCTGCACTGTAGATTTGTTCTTCCTTTCCTTGCAGCTTGATTTTTTTTAATAACAAAACGCTCTTTACAGCCTCTGCTCAACTCTCTGGAGGTCTTTTTCTCCCTGGAGTTCATTTTCTTGTGCAAACCTCCAGCTGTGTAATAACATACAGCTTCCTATCATTAAACACACAACATAAAGTGGGGATAGTAAAATCCTACAGTGACATACAGAAACCCGGCTGCAGGTGCTGTATTAATGTTAATAAAACACGGGTATATGTTTAATATTGCATTATTGTTGTAAGGCATCCGCAGTATATTGCAGAGGGGGAGACACAGTCGATTAAGCAGTTAATCAATCAATTAGTCGATCATTTTGATAATAAATTGTTCATTTATGTTATTTTCAAAGGCACAAATTCATTAGTTTCAGCTTATAAACTATAAACTTATGTGATAGATCGATTTATTACGTTATAAACATGTTTTAAATGAATTGATTATAATTAGAACAGTAATCTACCATAAAAGAGTATAAATCTACTCATTTACAAAGAATAATCTTTTCCTTTTCTTCCTCCCAATTTGTAGGACAAGTTGTCTGACTTGTTTTTCTGGTCTGTGACTCAATATGTGTGTGTGCGTGCGTGTGTGTATGTCTTATATATTCTATATTTTGTGTTTCTGCAGGTGTCAAGTGTTGAGGTGGTTCAGGCTTACATAGACAGGATCCAGGAAGTCAACCCTCTTGTGAACGCTGTCGTAAAAGACAGGCAAGAAAGACTCATTCCTCCCAATCTGATGCTTTTACTTTGATCTTTTACTGCTTGTTGAGTCGATTAATCGATCGGCAGAAAATGAATAATCGTTTTGCTTCTCAAATGTGAGGATTTGATGCATTTCTTTCTTGTATAAGATAGTAAACTTAATATTTTTGGGGGTTTTAGACTGATGTTTGGACAAATACAGACATTTAAAGATGCTACATTGGGCTGTTGTAGATTAAAACAGGCATTTATTACTATTTGAATCTAGAAAATAATCATTAGCTGCATCTCTATTGTGCTCTTATGTTTATTTATTAATAATTATTTCTAATCTCCTTTTAACTTTACTGTACAAAGTGTACGTATTATTAGTATTAGTTGCCATATTTACAGTTTCCACTATAATCAATTTAAAATCGAGCCTTTTTAATCAGGAATTAAACAGAATTGGGTCAAATAGTTTACTTCTCCCTCCGTCCAGGTTCGATGCTGCCCTCCAGGAAGCGGCTCAGGTTGACAAGCTGATCGAGCAGGAAACTGGTGGAGAGGAGGTGCTGGAGGACCGACTGCCTTTACTGGGAGTCCCACTCTCTGTCAAAGAGTCTTACTGCCTCCAGGGTAAATTCCAGAAATCTGATCTCCTGTCAGTCATTTGAAACCAGGCGCTTTGACTACCTACAACAAATAATGTGTAATAAAGTGTTTGAGCCAATAGATGCACCCTCACCCACTTTCTGTTCAGTGGAGACATCGTAACTTGAACATGTTGTGCTCAAGATAAAAATCAGCATTTCTAACAAATAAAAATGACTTTTATTTTCTGTCTTACAGGCATGCCCAACACTACAGGTGTGGTCTCCAGACGAGGAATCGTGTCCACCGTCGACGCTCCACCGCTGGTCCAGCTGAAGAGAGCGGGGGCCATCCCGCTGGGCGTCACCAACACGCCTGAGCTGTGTATGTGGTGGGAGACCCACAACCACCTCTACGGCATCACCAACAACCCGTACGACCTGGAGAGGATGGTCGGAGGAAGTTCAGGTTAGCAACTGTTGGTTAAACATCACAGTGGTGAGTTGATGGGTTTATTTAGAACTGCTTATTGTTGGAGTGGCCCTCCCTGATAATGATATTACACTGCACACACACACACACA